TTTGACCAGACTTTAAACGCTTAACGCACGCAAACAATGTTAATAATCACGTCTAGTGCATGGGTAGCCGTTCAAATCTTTCAACTTGTATTATTTTATAAACTGATCGTAGAAAATAAGATAAAGAATCATACAAGGAAACTAAACACGTTTTAGAAAACTATGAATGACAGAAAAAAAAGTCTGTCTTTCCAGTCTCATTAACATAGATTAACTATATACACACTGTAATCGATTTAATAAAATTCATCAAGCTAAGTAGTACGAAGTGCTAAATTTTCCTCTTTATGTATGTTTGTGTGAGTCTCAAAACCACTTTCGCTGGACTTGCATTAAATTCTTATTTAAGTCTCTCGTTTCTTCTCGCAAATTCACCTGCATTGCGTTTTTTTGACATGAATTACTAAAAATGATCCATAATTATAATGCCATCTGCACCTGACGTGACGAGCGACGCTTTCAAGGAATTAATAATTTTATAGTCCAAGACGCATTACTCCAGTCAATCCGTTGCACCAAGTTAAATTCGTCGCCGCGTATCGTTTGACCGATTAAGATTTTTGTGCAAAGAGCCCAAACAGGAAGAGGGAAGTTCATTTCTAGTATTAATGTTTAGCTTGGCTTGAAACCAAGAGTTTCTATCGTAACCATAGCTACCAAACAGTAATAAAAGAAAACGCTGCAAAAAGAGGTCCTTTTATATGATCACTAATTAGCGGCCTTTTTTTCTGACGAAGTGTAAATAGGCGCCATCTTCACGATTTAAAGGAGCGTGGGCGGAGTTAAATGCCAAGCCTCCAAACGAAGGTGCTGGTGGTAACGCCGATTAGTGGTGATAATGAAACCTAAGGATCCTGTCACGAAAGAACAACGAACCGACGCCATTTATTCTATTCCTTGCAATGACTGTGACAACGAATACATCGGACAGACCAAACGTCAGTTTGGTACACGGTTAAAAGAGCACCAAAGGCGGTTTTTCTTTGCAAAAAGGAAAATTCAGCTCTATCGGAGCATACATGCCTAACCAACCATACAATTGGGTGGGATAATTCTAGAATTATCACCACTAATCGGCGTTACCACCAGCGCCTTTGTTTGGAGGCTTGGCATATTAACTCCGCCCACGTTCCTTTAAATTGTGACGATGGCGGTTTGCTTCCTGACGCCTATTTACGCCTATTTTTAGATCACCCCTGATGAAGGCACTAGACAGGAGTGTCGAAACGTTGGGTCTATGAATTGTAACTTCTTCAGTTACATTCATTAAATCTGCAAACCAGAGTAGCATCAAACTATGTCTGACTGTCCACCTGGTTGCCGTGTGAACTTTAATATATTTTAAAAGAAAACGCGTTTGGCTGAAGAACTCTAAAGTTGGGCGCCTAAGAACGTTGGATCTTTGAAGGTAAGAGATGATTGTACTTAATGCATGAAAAACTTGAGTTTGACTCTCACCCCATGATAAGATATGATATCCAGCCTTAACTCCTATTTCTATGTAGTTGAAATAAAACGAAAATGAAATTTACCGAGCTTCCAAATGTGGGTATCACGAACACTTGGCGAGAAACATCTTCAGCTACTTGAAAGAAACAAGATCATTATCCTTAAATTTTATTTTCTTGAACAAAAAATTTACTGTGTTAAATAATAGGGAAAATGTATTGTTTATTTTGGTAAAAGTGCGCCTAAACTACGTTTTAAAATTCCTACAGAGTGCGTGAAGCCCGCTAAATGTTTCATCGTGCACAAATTGTTGGGATGATTTTATTATACGAACTGTACACTTTGTGCTTTTTGTCTAACTTCTGGTGACGAAGTCGTGGGAAGAGGAAAGAAAGATTTAATAAGAATAGCAACTTTTGAAATAATTTCGAGCCACTGTTACTTGTTTCTTTGGAGTTGCTTGGGACAAGTCAGTAGACAATTCAATTAACTGTGAGTAATAAGGTTCAAGAAACTGTGTATGACGAAAAAAATAGTCATATTTGCATCGCCACTAATTTATTTGAACTACACTGTCGACGACTCATTAAAAACTGTTCAGCTAAAAAATATTTAGCAAAAAAATTTTAGGATTTGGCATATCAGCGTAAATTTACATCGCATTTTGTTTAATGTGTTTGTCCTCATTGTGGACTTGAATTTGTACTGTAGCTCTGAAGCCCGTGAGTTTTGAGCAAATCGTTTGTATTGCGTGTGTTTGACGTCCGTTGATTATGCTCACTGTGGCTTTCGCGCAAGATGGAGGCGTATAAGCTTTCATAGATAAAGTCCAACACTAATAGTAAGTATTTGCTCGAAGACTTCCTCGAGGCCAGAGTAAGTTTTCAAATTAAAATTACACGACAGGTTGATGAAAGTCCTTTCTTAATTAGAGAACTAGCTTTCAAAACCATAAATAAGTGCAACATTTCTTGAGGCAAAAAGAAAAAAAAGTGCAGTTTTCCCTGCCCGTACAAATTTACTCAGCCCTTACTTATCTTCAGGAAGTTACAGACACCGTGAGTGGAACCTTTTCTATTGATACAAACATAAGAGTTTTATTTTATGTTTAGAGCTTTGTGTACAGCTTATCCAATGGAAGGCTTGACGTTTCTTGAGGCTGGCGATATTTCCGTGCCAAAGACATTCTTTTCTTATTAGATTCTCATCAGCGATCCTTTATTAGCACACGGTGGAGTTTCCTTAAACACTGGATTATTTGAGAAATTGAAGGAAATCTTCTTAAAAACCACTCAAATTTGTATTTTCCTTAAGAATTTTATGTGTTAACCTTCTATATCTCAGCTGAAATCATGAGGAAATCTCTGAGCGCGGAGTTGAGACATGGAAAATTGTCCTAAATACCTATGTTCTCAGATAGGCAAAAATCTGCAAATGAAAGTAGTATTAATTTTTCTCCATTTTCCCGTATTCTCCCCGGTGGGCTGGTTAATCAAATTGAAGTTCGAACAAACCAAACTGCTTTTCAGTGGCATATAACACCTAATGAGACCTTAAACAATTTTAAGTGCAACTTGAAAATTCGAGAAACTTCACCGAAGAATTTTATCAAGCTGTAAAACATAAGAGTTAAATTGTTAATGAAGTCATTTTGTGTCTCGTAGAAAGACATAAACAAGTCCTCGTCTTCTTAAACAAAACATTTACTATGTTAAATAATGGGGGAAAATGAACTGTTTTTTCTGATAAAAGTGCGCCTAAACTATGTTTTAAAACTCGTGAAGCCGGCTAAATATTTCATCGTGCACAAACTGTCGATCGATGATTTTATCATACGGACGGAAAACGTTGCTTTTGTCTTATTTGTGGTGACGAAGCCGTGGGAAGAAGAACGAACGATTTTACAAGAATAGGAACTTTTCAAATAATTTCGAGCCATTGTTACATGTTGATTTAACGTGGTTTGGGACAAGACAGTAGACAATTCAATAAACTATGATTACTATTAAAAGAACGTACGAAAATTTCAAGAAACTGTGTATGCCGAAAAAATAGACATATTTGCAGCGCCAGTAATTTATTTGAACTACAATGTCGAGGAATCATTCCAAACTGTCCAGCTAAAAAATATTTAGCAATAAAGTTTAAGTATTTAGCATATCAATGTAAATTTACATCGCATTTTGTTTAATCTGTTTGTCCTCATATGTATGTTTAGAGCTTTGTGTATAGCTTATCCAATGGAAGGCTTGACGTTTCTTGAGGCTAGCAATACTTCCTTGTCAAAGACATTCTTTTCTTATTAGTTTTTCATAAGTGATCCTTATTAGCACACGGTGGAGTTTCCTTATGGAACAGGGAAGTTTTGGCTTGAAACCAGGTGTTTCTATGGTAACCATAGCTGCCGTATTGTTAGAAAAGAAAGCAGTTTTACCTCAAAAGCAGTGAGGGACCAAAGAGCGTTATATCTTGATAGGTAAGAGTTGATCATATCGAAAACACCGATAGATGATTGGAGTAATACTATCCCTGGAAAATTCATATTCTTCACGGAAAGGATATTTACTTCCTTTAATTCTGCATGCCAAACGAAAAAGGTCGACTTCACTCTCAAATAAGGGTATTGTGCAATTTTTAATGTAAAGTAACTCAAGGTCTTTTCAACGAAAACAGATTATCAATACTCGGGGTTTACTAACTGAACCTTAACATGATTATTTCTATTTAACACGAAAGCTTTGGTAAACAATATCTTGCTCTGTTTACCCCAAACATTACCAAAAGGTCGCCAAAGTTTCAACCACGTCCAAAATGTTGAATGTGTTAATAACAACTTAGAAAGTATTACTCATCGGATATAGTTTGGAAGCTTGTGTTTGAATCTTTCTTACCCTTTTGGTTACTGAACTTTGTAAAAAAAGCAAGGGTTTAAATAATCTTCGGGATTTTTATTTCATAAAAAAATAAGGATAATCAGCAGCTCGTAAATATAAATGAGCTAACTTGCTAAAAATTGTATTTTTTTTTCGCTCAATAAGACTGTATTATTTCTTCCAAAGTTTTTGTCGAGATCGAATCGTTAACACTTTACATTTGGAACCAAGATTTCGGAGCGGAGATTTTAAATGCTTGTACATTCGTTCTTCTATGGAGGCGTAAAGTGATCAGGACTATTAGGAGAACATTTCAAAACGTTATAAGCAGATCAAAGTTATCGTTCCACAAAAGCTGAAAGAGTCTTCAGCAATTAAAGCTTAATATTAAGGGTTGAGCTGATCCTCCTTGATGATTGGCATCCTATCGAACAATGTGCAAATTGTTTACTCACATCATAAACTAGGAAGTGCTTTAAGGAAGTTTCAGGCAAAGTTTTAATGTGCGAATGGTATGATTGCTACGTGGCTTCATCTGGTACCAAACAAGTTTTGTTGAGAGAAAACTCGGCCCTTTTCTTTCCATGATCCTAGTCTCAATATTTTTAGATTCAGCACAAGCAAAGAAGTATGTGGTGGCTGTTCCGCCATTTAAGATTCGTCCTTTTCGCTTCTACCATGGAGTTTGTCACAGCTAATGATCAATGTAAGACCGAAGTAAACATTCAAGGAATGGCTCTCAGGCGTTCTGTCTTCAAAAGATGGTCACTGGCGGCTCCTCACCTCTGCGATATCAAATGTGAACAAGAGATCACGTGCCAAAGCTATAACTACAACAGAAAATACAAAATATGTGAACTAAATAACCGCACCAAGGAGGCAAGACCACAGAATTTTCTTTCAGCCCCTTCATGGTTTTATATCCGACGATTGAACGACAGAGGTGAGAATTAAAAAATCTGTTTAACTATCTGATCTATTTCTTCCCCTTTAACTCAAAAGTGGCTTAAAAACCCCGCGGCATAACTCGATAATAATTGCTTTTCGGGTGAAAACAGCGAAGATTGCCTAAAAAAATGGGCGCTTATCCGTTTTGGCGATATTTTTTTGCCTCTCCTCATCGAATGCGCTTACGACCAAGCTTGTGTAGCCTTTCACCTAAGGAGTCTTTTCCTCTTCACAGTCTAGTTTTATACGCAGCAGATTGCAACATCTCCACCTGCAACTGAAATTAGGAGATGTTTACGCGATTAAAATTAAAAAACAAGGAGGTTTTGCCGCGAAAAATATTTTGGGAGCCGTGATGCAATGATGAAATGTTTTAATTGGCTGTTCTCACTTTTGGGGAATCAGAGCTAAGATAGAAAAAACGTTTTAATAAATGATATGCACTCGTTTTGACATTTTACCCAACTTTTTCCTGGCAACTTTAGTTCAAGTACCAAGGCTTAGCTTCTCATGAAGAAAAAATCTGTAAAATTGCCCCTTTAAAGTTTACCGTATTCTTAGCTTTTTTCCATTCTTAATCAACCCTGTGCCTCCTTTCTTGATTTTAAATATCTCAATATCTTTATTGCAGCACCCTTAGGTTCTATCCCTGAATTACCAGCATTGTCCTGTCACGAAATAAAGGCAAGTGAAGGTAAAGACACCATCAGCGGCAAGTATTGGCTGGATCCAATTGGCACAGGGAAGGCAACATTGGATTACTGTAACATGATTAACGAGGGTAGGTCTTAACCATTTTTTACGAGTTACTTTTAAGAAGACATTCGAAGATTTTCCAAGGATACAATACTTATTTTAATATGGTGTTGTAGAAAATACTTTCATATGTATATAAAAGATAATGAAACCTCGACTGTGCTCTGTTCTGTTGTAAAGAACGTACAAGCAGTTAGAGCACGTAAAAAATGTAGGGAAACACAAGATAGAGATGAGTGCTGTCCCTCTTCCTGGCTGTTGGTTGATGAGCGATGTTTTAATCTTATTTGAAAACAATTTAATTGACATTAAATAGTGTTCTTATAACATTTTCAAAGGTGGATATAGATATCACCACAGATGTCGATTGGGATTTTAAAAATAGATAGTCAGAGTATGATCTGACACTCAGAGCATTGCACTAAACACAATTTGCAATCTGCAAACTGCAGAGAGATCGCGATGAGCAAATGTATAAAGAAATGAGCAAAAAAAAAACTTCTATTAAATATTCGAACCCTGATACGTGCACGTTTTAAGTATCGCGACAGACGTGATGAATAGGTGACATTTTCATTTTTTTGCTTCTTGGCTTTTGTCAGTTTTTAGGTGCTGAGTGCACAAAAAGGGGAAATGATGTACTAGGAACAAGCAAAACCCAATGGAAATTTTCTTAATTGTGTTGTGGTGTTACAAATTAGCTTAAGTAAATATTAACTGCTGACACACATATATATAGTAAGACATCCACGTATTCCACTTCGACTGTTGCAGGATACATTAAGAACTCAAACATACTGTCGAAAAATGAAAGTTACCTCGCATTTCTTCGTGAGTTCCTGGTTCCTGCTGTTGGAAATAATTTCCATTGGTTGCTCTGCTACCGCGCCTCTTCGCATGGCTGGAATGGTAGGGACTTTCATACTCGTTGCGATGGAAAGAGAAATACTGTAACGGTTATAAAGAAAGACCAGTATGTTTTTGGAGGGTACTCTGATGTTCCATGGGGTGAGTAATTTTCGCCATTTGCAACCCAGCAATCACGATTTCATCCCAGACCAGTCAACCTATCGATTTCTCATCCGACAAACAAACAAACAGACTCAAAAACACAGTCTTAGCTTTCCTTGGCAGCATTTGAAGAGATTCTAGGATTATGTCGTTACTTCGTTCCTCTTCACTGCATGCGAGTATAGTATGCGAGCAATTATTTAAAAACGTGCGCTCCCATTTTTGGAAAAGCAAAGGGTTCGAATGTTAACATGAAAACTACGAGGAGACTGTTCGGTTCGCGGGCCTAGAATTTCAATGCATTTTGTGTTTAGGCACGCGTTTTCAATAAATCAATACCTCCAAATTCATGTCAGAACTTTAACTGCAGCCTCACGATTCAATTTGTTTGACACGAACCCTCATATTTCTGCCATGGTTTTCGTCTAATGATTTTAATCAGGGTTACTGACATCAAAGGGACTGCTGCAAATTTGCAAATATGGGATAAAAACAGGTATCATAATCCTAAACCCGAAATATTGAGCAAAGAGATCATTTCTTTTTTATCATAATTATCTTTTATCCGGGAAAAAGGAGCCGTTCATGGCTGACGGATTCATGTTTTCTTAGCCGATTGTCCTCCAGGAGCGAGAACAAAGGACCCGTCAGGTCGCTGTTGTGTACTTCCTTTCGAGTATGAAGGCCGTACGTATCACAAGTGTGCTGGGAAAGTACCGGGAAATTTTGAGAGACCGTGGTGTTCATTCGATGCTGTCTACAATGGTGACTGGGCGTCTTGTGGTAAGAGAGAAAGTTCTTCTCCATGATGTATACATATCAGTATTTTTCTCTCTCACATGTTTCAGTTTCATTACCTTCATGACAAAAATATGCAAAGCATAAGTATTTTTATGGTTTCTTTCAACTTAGACTGTATGTTATCAGCACTATTGAACAGCTTTAGGTGAGAAGAAAAGCAAGATACAAAAATATAACCAATAAAAAGGTTGCAATTTTTGCTTATTGTCTTGACTGTAGATGAAAATCCCTATAATGGATATCGCAAGACAGATAGGGCTTTTATTTATTCGCTCCACAACAAAGAAGGACTGGCGCCGTTTAAGAGTATGGTGAAGCATGATTCCCAAGCCATTTTTATGGATATAAGCCATGGTCCAACGTTTGGTGGAGGCTTCGATATTCATATTGCCAACAACGCAGGTCATAATGTTCATTCGTACACCAACTTTGGTCACTCTTTCTTGGCTCCTAGTGATGTAGAGGAAAAAGATACAGTGTTAGCTGGAACTTACTATTTTACTCCCGATGAGGTAGAAGTGTTCTATCTCCCTTAGAGCTGGAAAACCTTCTAAATTGCCTCATTTTATTGCAATTCATAGTGTAGTTATTTTAACTTTTAATTTTAGTCCTCACTCAGTGGACAGGGAGAAATATGTAATTACAGTGCAAACAAAGTTTACTAAAGGACTAGTAGTTAAGAACACACAATTCTTCATTGGTTTTGTACATTGACAATAAAATTTTTTCCAATTGTGGTACTTTTACTCATGTCACAACCTGGGAAAGGTGGAAGAGAGCCCTTATTATTATAATTTACGTTCTGTGCTCAAAATATGGTCACTAACGGCATCTGCTATCAGTCACTTATTTTATCTTACGCAAAATTTCTGGTGTGTTCCCTGGTAGGAATAAGAACTTAGCGGGATCTCCATTTGCTGTTCTCTTTGCCGGTTTGAAATGTTCATAAACCATATTAATAAACAACTAAAGTGCGTAAGCCGGTAACTGTTTCATCAAGCACGATAGTTTGAATGACATTACCATACAAATAGACAACATCTCTCTTTTTAATTAGAATGAGAAAATCAACTGTGATGAAAAAAACAACACGAAAAAGAAATGTATTAGATTCGAAACGAGCTTGTAATTTGCACACAATATTTGCACCTTGATTAAACGTGTTTTAAGAAAAGACGTTATGATGTACAGCTTGTATGAGAGGTTAATATGAAAAAAAACCCCAACACGTTTCAAGAAAAACATTCACGCGTGAATTCCTTCAAGCGATAAATTACTTTTGAAAAGTCGAGGGAGGATTATTCACCATTGCGTCGAGGTTAACTGCTTGTGTCGGCTTGCCTTTCCCCTGTCATTACCTCACAAAACATTTGATTAAAGAGGGAAAATGTCTTGGGTTGTTTATTTAAAAAAAAAATGTGTATGAACGGCAGCTTCTAAACTCGGTTGGTTTTCTATGAATGTCAACTGTAAATTCATCAACAGCGGAGAGATATGTTGTGGGCATTTCGCCTTGTAAAAAACCTCTTCTTTGCGTTTTTGATGGAGCTTGTCCAGCTAATGATCTTTTTATTTTTTTTTATTCCATTTTCACTGCAGTTACATCGTCACATGATAAAATGACAATAATAATAATGATAATATTAATAATTATAGTATTAATAATTAACATATCAATTAATAAAACTCTAAGTCCATAAGAAAGCAGTGGGGTAGAGTAGAAGGGAACTGACGAACCATGCGTGCTAGTCAACCCATTATAAGAAAAGCCAACTTACTAACTAACAACCTTAAGATAACAGTATTAATAGTTACAGTATCAATTAATTAATAAAAAATCTAACTCGTTATAAAAATAATAACTTGCAGACTAGCAACCTTACTAACTAACTGCTGATTTTTGCCCAGGTGGTATGAGGGCGCTCGGGGTCAAAGGCCTTATCTTTATAGAAGGTAGTGCATAGTTTCTTAAAAGAAGAAACACTGAAATTGGCAGTCCTCAGCTCATCTGGTAAATTGTTCCATAGATACGGAATCCTGTTTAAAAATGTTTCCTTAAAAAGTTCCTTCCTAACTCTATTCGAACCCACCGAGTTCTCTCGGTGGTTTCTTGGTGGGTAGGAATAAAACTCAAAAGTTCTGTCATCAGGTTTATGATATCATCATACAAAAAACAAAACAAAACAAAAAAAAAATACCGTTCTTGCCTGGAGATCATCAGGAGGCCTAGTGGCATGGTTGAGCTGGGGCAGATCAAGAGGTTTAGGCTCGAGACCTTGCCGGATCATGAAGTGGTCCCAGGAACTTCCATAGGAATCCATAAAAAAGCATACTCGCTCGAAGAGGAGTGGGCATGGGTTCGATACATATCGTTCTTTTCTTCAAGTATCGTTTTGGCATTTGTTTAAAATCTATCTTAGGCTAATATTTGCTCTTAGCATTTTTCTTGCAATCGGTTGCAACTTTATTTGTTGCAAAGTTAACAAAACTGATTTTTACATCCTCAGGAGATGAATACTACAATTGTTTGCTAACAAAATATAAGTTTTCCACGAGTCCTGGCTGCTTTTCTGATCTAACCACTTCTTGATTTATCATGAGAAGGAATGAGACGAAAAAAACAAAAAGAAAAAAAGATACACAGGAAACAACTTGCAGACATTTTCCCTTTGAGGGCAAATTAGTTTCGTGAAATTAATCCCAATCGAAAAGAAGTCATCGGGAAAACCAGCCTTCAAGTTACACGACATTCACTGCATAATTATGATCAATACTCAATAATCCTTAGAATTTACCAAAATTGTCAAAATAGTTAGGAGTTCTCGAGCAGACTGAAGCGCGGAAGATTGTTCGCTTTTTCCTAACTTTATCTTTGAGATTTTACCTGTAAAAAAAAAAAAGATAAATCATATATTAAAGTTCACACGGCAACCAGGTGGACAATCAGACATAGTTTGACGCTACTCTGGTTTGCAGATTTAATGAATGTAACCGAAGAAGTTACGATTCATAGACCCAACGTTTCGACACTCCTGTCTAGTGCCTTCATCAGGGGTGATCTAAACGCTGCAACAAGAGGTCCTTTTATATAATCACTAATTAGCGGCCTTTTTTCTGACGAGTTGTAAATAGGTGTCAGGAAGCAAACCGCCATCGTCACGATTTAAAGGAGCGTGGACGGAGTTAATATGCCAAGCCTCCAAACAAAGGCGCTGATGGTAACGCCGATTAGTGGTGATAATTCTAGAATTATCCCACCCAATTGTATGGTTGGTTAGGCATGTATGTTCCGATAAAGCTGATTTTTCCTCTTGCAAAGAAAAACCGCTTTTTGGTGCTCTTTTAACCGTGTACCAAACTGACGTTTGGTCTGTCCGATGTATTCGTTGTCACAGTCATTGCAAGGAATAGAATAAATGGCGTCGGTTCGTTGTTCTTTCGTGACAGGATCCTTAGGTTTGGCGAAAATATGCCCCAAAGTCTGAAAAGGTTTTTGAGCAACTTTAACGTTGTGGCTATTCAAAATTCTCTTGATGGGTTCCGTAACACCCTGTATGTAAGGAATAACAGCAAAACCAGTCACTGGTTCCCTTTCATCAAGAGAGTTACTATTTGTAACTGGTTTTTGGCAGTTACGGAGAAAAGTTTTTGTATAGCCATTTGCCTTTAGGACATTGGCAACATATTTCCTCTCCTCAGCCTTCGAATCGAGTGAAGATGGTAGACAGTCAGCCCTCCTAAGTAAAGTTTTGGCTACAGACTTTTTATGGCAAATAGGGTGGTGAGAATCGAAAGCAAGGTATTTGTCGGTGTGGGTAGGTTTACGGTATACACTTGTCTCTAAATTACCCTGAGCCCCTCTGGACACATTTAAATCAAGAAAGGGCAAATGTCTATCCTTTTCACGCTCAAGGGTGAATTGGATCGACGGCTCTACTGAATTCAAATGCGAAAAGAAGAGGCTCTTCGCTTCATTTCCGGATACCGCAGAAATAACATCATCGACATATCGTTTCCAGAAAAAGGGTTTAACCGGTGAAGTGGCTAAGGCTCTTTGTTCCACGTCTTCCATCACCATGTCAGCAATGACAGCAGAGACGGGCGAACCCATCGCTGTACCAAAAACTTGTTGATAGTAGGTGACGTTATATGCAAATTGCGTGGTTTTGAGGCAAAAAGACAGCAGATGAATAATATCCTCCACAGGCAAAGAAGTTCTTTGTCCCAGGGAAGCATCTTCTCTGAGTCTTTCCTCCGCAACCTTAACGGCAAGATCAAATGGGATTTTGGTGAAGAGCGAAACAACGTCGAAAGATACTAATTCTTCGCAAGCGTTAAGAGTTTTATCTCTTATGAAATCCGCAAATTCGCAGGAATTTTTGACAGTGTAATCAGTATTAACAACAACAGGCGACAAAATTCTAGCAAGATAACCAGAAATTACCTAGGTCGGAGAGTTAACAAAAGAGACAATGGGTCTTAAAGGAATTCCCGGTTTATGAATTTTAGGTAAGCCATAAACGTGGACATAAGCCGTCACTACTGTATAACATTTTGTACGTAGAGTCACTAATTCTACCAGCTTTTTTCAAATCAAGCAACATTTTGTTTAACTTTCTTTGAGTTTTACTGGTAGGATCCGAGTTTAACACAGCATACGTATTCTTGTCATTAAGCAGAGACAAAGCTTTGTCGTGATATTGCTGTTTGTCCACTGAACCACAACACAATTACCCTTGTCAGCAGATAATACGAGCCTTTCCGGATCCTTTTTGAGAGCTTTAAGCGCATTGAAAACATCCTTTTGAATGTTTTTGGGAGGAGGTTTAGCACGCCTGAGTATGCTACTTACTTCTGCTCTTACCAAATGCCTACGATCGTCGTTGAGTTGAGAGATACTCTCCTCAACAGCGGCGGAGGAAAGGTTCATGACCCATTTATCTTTCAGAGATGAGCCTGAATTAACAGGAGACCTCTTACTGAGCAAGTGACGGAGTTTTCTGTCGTGTTTCTCTCTCTGTTTGGTAAACGTCTGCAGTTCTTTCTAACTGCAGAACTCCTCGACCCAAGAAGTTTCGGAGTTGTTAATCAAAGTAGAGAGTTCACTGAGTGAACGAGAGAATAACGCACGCAAACGCAGTATGGAATTGTGACATTCATCTATTCGTAGCTTAAGAAAAGAAAAACCAGTACGGACCATGCCACCGAAAGAAGGGAGTAATCACGCAAAGCACCGCTTGTCAGAAAAAAAAATAACAATGTTAATGTTGAGTAATAAAAATGATAATAATTGCAACGAATATAATGGTAAAAATACTCTTTCTAAACGCTTATGAGATTATTGACTATTTGGTAGTTCCAGAAGTTTAACCAGTTAAAAATATGAGTTTTCAAGAAATATTGACGGTTATGAAAGGATAACAACAAATTTTAACACGATCTTAAACTTTATTAATATACTTCATAAAAAACTACTTGGAATATTAATATTCCCAGAAAATCAACTTGAACAGCTTGAACTTCAAAACAAAAGAAG